AGCTAGGATAGCCATTCAGAATGAGTTATATAGGTAAGATAGCCAATCAGAATGAGTTATACAGGTACATGTAAGATAGCCAATCAAAATAGGTATGCTTTTATGTGTGCATTGCTGAAAATAAATTCAGCATTTAGTTGATCTCGTATGCAAATTCTTCTTCACTTCAGGATGCTGAGAAAAAGAAGGAACAGGGACTGAAAGATAAACAAGATGAATTAAGAAAAAAATTGAGGGCAGCTTCTTCTGATGCTGAAAGAGAACGTATCTTGTTAGAGTATGCCCAACAGGTGAAACTATTTAGATCTGTATATATTCAGACGTCTTGGACATGCTTGACCAATTTGCGTGGGCTGATTAGTATAAGAATTGTCTACTGGGTGGGGGAGTTAGGTGTATGCAAATACCTTGTGCCTGCTGTAAAACACAATGCTGTACAGGTCACCGAGTATGAATAAACTGTATAAACACACTGAAGTCATATAAATGTATTTGACAAACGTTATTCAATTCATAATGTTTTTAACAACAGAATATTAATTATAATGATTAAACTATCACTGCATTTTTTAAATGATGAGATTTTTAAGGCTTTTGAAATCATAATTCAATACTCAATCTGAACACTGATGTTTTATTTATTTTATTATGGTTTATTGTCGTAGTATATTAATATTTTTATTACATATTTGTGAAATATTTAATTTTATTATTGATTTTTTTTATTTCCATATAGATGCAAAGATTATCTGAAAAACAGGAGCAAGAGAAACAGACACAACTTGAGAAATTACAAAAACAACTCAAAGACAGACGTAATAGACAGAAGAAGGACTTACACAGGTAAGATGTCATTAGTAACATGTTTTTGTTTTATGTCAATTATGGTTTAATCACTCATAATCAAATAACCAGCAAACAGGGGGGGAAAAGGACAATTCTGCTCTTTTTTTTGAGCCTCACAAAATTTCCATTGCCACCAGTGTTAGTTCACATATTCAGAGTGGCAGTATATGGGCGTGATATACAATGAATGCTAGGTCAATGAATTATTTTTGTTTTCTTGCTTATCTCCACTAATGTTATAGGTATTTGTCATTTTAGGATATTTTCACTGGTTTTTAATTTTACTATTTTGATATTTCATCTTATTCACAGGGTTTTAAATTCAAAAAATTTCCAGTTAAATTCTGTTTAAATTTAGTTAAATTTACATGTCCTTGTGGACTTAAATCATTAGTGAAATTGTTGTAATTAAAACCTTGTGGAAAACATACAAGTGTTTACATTATTTCTTTTTAATAATAATAATAATAATAATAATAGTTCATTACACAACTGTAATCTGCTGTGAATACATTAAGGTAAAAATAGTGTAAAATAAAATCCAAATAATGCAACTAAAAATATTATTATAATGATTTGTATTCTAGAAAACAAGTTTCTGAAGCCAAGTCGGAAGGACTGAAAGATGAGGATGTTCCTGACATGACTGATCCATCGGATGCACAACAGGACAAAGAATTCAGATTACTTGCATTACAACAAGAAAAACTATTGGCTGAGTTACAGAAAGCTTATGCAGAAGAGATGGAGAAGGTATGTAACAGCAATTCCTATTGGATGTTTTAAATTAAAATCTAATAACTACTTTACTATCAACAAATCAACAGATGCGACTTACAACATGGCTGATAGGTTGCAATGTTCATGGACATATTTTACATCATATTGTTGTCTATAATTATGGGTTTTTAAAATAAAGATCACAAATTCAAATCATTTTGAAAATATAGATGTTTTATAAATGAAGAAACATTTCATTTTGACTTTGTTTTATGAAATTCTACCAGTTCTAAATTTCTCACAAGCTCTACTAACATTTATTTCTCACTAGCTCAATTCAATTTTCATTAGCTCTATACTATTTCTCACTAGCTCTGTTAACGTTTCAGTAGCTCTATTCGTTTTCACTAGCTATATTCGTTTCTCACTTTCTCTATTCATTTCTCACTAGCTCTATTCAATTTTCATTAGCTCTATACTATTTCTCACTAGCTTTGATAACGTTTCACTAGCTCTATTCATTTCTCACTTGCTCTATTCATTGTCACTAGCTCTATTTGTTTCTCACTTGCTCTATTCAATTCTCACTAGCTCTATTCAATTCTCACTAGCTCTATTCAATTCTCACTAGCTCTATTCTATTTCTCACTATTTCTCACTAGCTCTGTTAACCTTTCACTAGCTCTATTCATTTCCACTAGCTATATTCGGTTCTCATTTTCTCTATTCATTTCTCACTTGCTCTATTCAATTTTCATTAGCTCTATACTATTTCTCACTATTTCTCACTAGCTCTGTTAACCTTTCACTAGCTCTAATCATTTCTCACTTGCTCTATTCGTTTTCACTAGCTCTATTTGTTTCTCACTTGCTCTATTCAATTCTCACTAGCTCTATTCAATTCTCACTAGCTCTAATCTATTTCTCACTATTTCTCACTAGCTCTGTTAACCTTTCACTAGCTCTATTCATTTCCACTAGCTATATTCGTTTCTCATTTTCTCTATTCATTTCTCACTAGCTCTATTCAATTTTCATTAGCTCTATACTATTTCTCACTATTTCTCACTAGCTCTGTTAACCTTTCACTAGCTCTATTCATTTCTCACTTGCTCTATTCGTTTTCACTAGCTCTATTTGTTTCTCACTTGCTCTATTCAATTCTCACTAGCTCTATTCAATTCTCACTAGCTCTAATCTATTTCTCACTAGCTCTGTTAACCTTTCACTAGCTCTATTCAACTAACGATTTATTTCTCACTAGCTCTATTAATGTTTCACTTATTTGACTGTATTACATTTTGCTAGTCTTAATCACTTGTAATTATTAACATTATGATACATCATCTTGTCATCACTAGGCTGCCAATAATGAAGCTAGAAAATCTGAAATGGATGCCGAGATGGAAGCAAGAATGAGAGCTCTTAACTTGGCCAATAAACAGAAAGTAGATGAGGCATTGGATTCTTTGAATAAAGTAGGTTATGTTGACACTGATTACGTATCACATCTATTATTTATCTAACTATGGCTATAAAAGGAAAGAAGGCAACAAGATTTCAGTATGCAAATCACATGTGATGGTGATGTATTTTGTCTAAGTGCTCTATGAAATCTCTGTTTTCTATGATTAGAATGCAAGTCTTCAAGATGGCTGTCAATCCAGTCATGCAAGTCTTCAAAATGGCCGTCGATACAGTCATGGTTCACTATATTTTATATTGCTGTCATTTTGAATATTTTGTTTATGTTAGTTTAATATTTGAGCAAGATTTAAGCGTAATTCTCATGTTGTAATCACTCATGCAAGTCTTCAAAATGGCTGTCAATACAGTCATGCGAGTCTTTAAAATGGCTGTCAATACAGTCATGCAAGTCTTCAAATGACTGTCAATACAGTCATGCAAGTCTTCAAAATGGCTGTCAATACAGTCATGCAAATCTTT